TTTTGAAAGACGTTCTTTCAAAAAAGAAACTAGTCAAGTAGTCTAGACATGGTTCTTTCGAGAAAAACGACTTTTCCAAAAGAACCGTGTAAACCTCATTTTTTTAGGAAGAATGGTTCTTTCGAAAAAGGGTTTTTTTCTTGGAAGAGCCACATCTAGACTACTTTCTTTTTCGAAATAATCTTTTTTGAAAAAGCAATTGGAAGAAGATATGCAAATTCATGCCGAATTTGCATATCTCCTTTCAAAAGTGAAAGCAAGTCGAGACATGCCCTAACTGGGCACGTAGGAGTCCTAGATTCAAATTGCTGCTCTTCCTAATGGGAGTAGGAATTTGAAACTGGGCCTACCTTAGCCCAGGTCAATTCACTGTCCACCAGGCTATTTCTCTCCCTCACTAGGGTTGACCACATGTTCCATCCTAGACCTGAGAACCTTCCGGATGAAAAGTTGTAGGAATTTTTCTGTCAGAAAGCTTCAGTTTCAATGAATCCGCATTTTTCCCCACAAGAAAATTGCATTGAAAAATTCCCAACTAATTTCCTAGCAAGGAGATGCTGCATTCTTATGTGAAGAAAGAACTTCATGTCGTCACGGCAACCCTGCTGCTGAAAGCAATAAGTGCTTAAGTTAGCGTGTTGGGTCTGTAGGGTGTCGTGTGTTAACCCAGTGATGCACAGGTTAACTGACTGCCACCACGACTATACCGGTCTGTCGCTCAAAATCAGTAGAAACCGATTACATGTGTAATTTTTGTTAACGATAAAAAATGGTACCTAACCAAAGTAATAGCTTAATAAAAGCAGTGCATTTCTTCCTCAATGTAAGTGGAATATTCCTTTTATTTCCTTCATGATTGATGCAATTACTGCAAGAAGAAATGAGTTTTATTTATTTTTTCTGTGCAAACAATTGCAGACAATAGTCCAGCATCAGGACAAAGTCTTAGGTGGGAGCTCAGGATACATATACCATTGAAAAAGGAGCTTTTCCCCCAGATACACATACTTACTTCTAGTCTTGGCCGGTTCCAAGATTCTGAAGCCTACAATTGCAATATGCATGAAAAATATTTGTGAGTTCATTTGTACAGGGACCTAACATATATGACAAATAATGTTATTCCTCCTTCAAGATTTGTCTTTATTAGATTCCTCTGATCAAACTTAAGTATGTGCTTCTACATTCATGGTATGCCCCTCGGAGAGTTTTATTCATGGTAAATGACAGCACTGGGTAATTTAAGAATCTTAATAGGCATCTTTCTGAACGATATTTCCATTTGGAGAAACAGAAGCAAGTCAGCCTCAGGATAAATTTTCACATAGGGTGCATTTGAAATTTAAGACAAAAAATATGTGCTAGTATGTATAAATATACAGTCATTAAGGAGATATAAAATAGTCACAAATTGCAAATCAGACGTTTAACAAATTCTGAGATTTAATATTTTTAAGACATTGGCTAAAGGTTGGTTTATATTTAGCTATACTTCTCCATTGGGTGGATTACTGGCCAATTTTTAAAGAGGGGGATAAAAGCTCATTGCAGCTGGCTGCAGCATCAAAGTTAAGCTAATTAAAATCCCCCCAAATGCTCCTAACTTGCTTTGATTTATAATTGAGTATAAAATTAGTAGGAGTTAAATATAACTTGTGAATTTATGGTGCTGCGCAGTCATATGTGTGTCATATATTTGCATTTGAATAATAATTCATGCAAGAAATTTTCACTTTGAAAATGTGTGCTTCTAGCCACTAGCATTTTGTAAAAGAAAAAAAAAGTTGTGCGCTAATATTATTTTTGTCTGGAATATAGCAACTGCTTCTAAAGTGATATTGATGCATGTTGAATTGTGCCACTTCTATAGTATTTTGGGATAATATTTCCTCTTCTGTCAGCATTTATTTTTGAGGTGCAGAGATTTTCCTTTTTTTTTTTTCCATCGTTGATGAAATGTGCTGGAAAAAAAGAACTGGGTCTAGTTCTGAAGTTTTTATGCACAATGTTACAACTTTTAAATAGATCTGATCAAAATGTCCCAATGAAAATCTTTTCAGCTGAAAAAATGGGGTTTCTTCCAAAGTAATATTTTTCACAGTACAATGTTGGTTCATGATTTTCAATTTTTGATGGAACATTTCAAAAGGAAATGAAACAAAAAATTGCTTGTTTAATTTAAAATTCATTGTCAATCCATTTCATTTTGGTTTTTGAACATTGAATAAAAAGAGGTTAGATTTTTTTTGCTCCCCCCCCCTTTTTTTGCCATTGACTATCATGGAATTAACAATGTCTAGTTTGTTTTCCTTCACTTCTTCCTTTTTCTTCCATTTTCCACTGTAACTTTTCAAAACTTCTCCATCGGAAAAGTTAGTGGTAAATGATATTTGAAATGGAGTAAAATGTGTAACATTTTGAAAGTTAAGAAATTTTTAGTGTGTGGCATTCAGAGGCATCTGTGTTCTCACCATGAGTATAATGTATTTCTGCTCGAATGGGTTTCTCAACATATTTTTTATGCTCCGCTTTTATTTTGAACTAGCCAATTAGCCTGTCATAAGACGGGATTTTCGGGTCTCTCCTCCACGTCCGTGTCTCTCTCTCTCTCCTCCTCCTCCTCCTCCTACTGCCTCCCCGTCTCGCTCTCTCAGCTCTCCTCCGCCTCCTGCCTCTCTCTCTGTCTCTCTCTTTCTCTTCTCCTCCCCCTCCTGCCTCTCACTCGGGGGGAGTTGGTAGTAGACACTTTTACAAAGGTTTTGCAAAATGTGTTTGGTTATTTGAGTTATAAGAACTATTACAAATTACAATCATATATATAGTAGCCCAATGTATGTGACTAACGCTGAAATGCTGGCTGTTGCCTCTGGGCGGTGCTGTTGACTGAGTCACGTCCTTTGCCTCCTGCCGTGGTACTCGGCTGACTTTTGCGCCACTCAGCTGGGCCGCCGCGGGGGAGCAAGCGGCCGCTTGCTCCCCTGTGGTGGCCCAGCTGAGCGGCGCAAAAGTCAGCCGAGTGCCACAGCAGGAGGCGGATGTGACTGAGCCAACAGCGCCGCCCAGAGGCAACAGCCAGCATTTCAGTGTTACAGCGTCACAGATGTTGGGCTACTATATATATGATGCAGAATTTAATGTTAGAATCAGGTAGTCACGCAGTTATCTATAACACCCTAAATGCAGAACAGTGACCATTCTTTACAATGTTTTACAGATGTGTGAAGCTGGGAATCACTTTATCAATGTTGCTTTAGTTCATCTGAATCACTCAGGTTTGTCTCTCCTCTCTTGCTCTCCACCCCCTATCTACATACTACTGAATTGCACTTGGTCTCTTGATTTTTCCTGATGTCCAAAAGTAAACACAAAATAAAGAAAGATGAGTTCAATATCAGGGCTAGCGTCTTCTAAATGGAGAACGTAATAAAGGAGACATTTATAATATTGCTGTTTCTCTAAATCTTGCCGCAAATTTGTCTTCATTATAAATATCCATAATTTAATTGTAGATTGGAGTGTTTAAATGTTGTAAAGTATGCTGTCAAGTGACAGTGAAGGATTTAATTTTAATGAAGATTCAACCAACATTAAAATAACTAATTTGAATATTTTTCCCCTCTAAAATCTTCGTGCGCGCATAAGCGTGCTGATAAAATGTCCTCCACACTTCTTATTTTTGGCGGGGGGAGGGGGAACATTAGAGACAGCACATTCCTTAGAAAAAAATGTATTGCATAATAATATTTTTGGGGTTTGGGGCATAGACCCTATTTCAAGAAAGTGCTTCTTCATGTGCTTCTTTCAATCTGTATGCAGAAAAGCAGTTAAAGTTAGCTTAAATTTAACCTGGGGTTTACGTGTGTTCTTGAGAAGGGTCCACATACTTACAGAAAATCTACGCTGTGCACATTACAGCTAACACCGCATTGTGATGTGGGCGCTGTAGTCGTTTTTTATTCTGGCGATTAAAAAAAAAAAGTGAATAATAGGTAGGAGCTTTATCCCTGGGAGTGTGGCTTCCAGCGATAAAGCACTGTCTGTACCGGTTCTTTTCACTGCTACATTTTTAAATCACCCATAGGGGTGTTTTTTTCACACCCCGGCACATTTACAGCTTTAGCACTGAAAGTGACAATCTGGACCCTGCCTCACACATGTGACAGCATTTCTCACAGCATTCCACCGTGGGTAACACCATGCTGCCGTGCGAGGTGACGGGTGTTTGCGTTATTCTCGTGTGGCATCTTAGAAGAGCAACATTTGCACTGCGGGGGAAAAGAAAGTCAAGTTCTGGAATATGCCATCCTGTTATATGACGAGCAGTCAGCAAGCGATGATTTTTCTTACTGCAATGCACTTCCTTTCTAAAGACTGCCTGTTACTGTGACCCGACTGTAGCTTTTTAAAAAAGGCTGAATTTCCACAGTTGTACGGTTACACCCAATGGCAACTTCCACTCCTTGGCATGACCCATGTTTCTTCTCCATTTTTCCCATCTGTGTGTGGAATAAATTTTGTTCTGTGCACTGAGGTATGTGTGAATGTGCACCACCCATAGAAACACACACTGCCAGTTGTGGGCGCTCTACTAATCAATTTGGTGGTACCTGAATCTCTACTGGGTGGCTGCCCAGGATCTCAGCTTACAGGGAGCCCTGGGCATGACCCTGTTGGCTCTTTTGTGAGGTAGTGAAGGACCCCAACCTGAGAACAGTGTCTCAGTGCAGGTCGGTAAGGAGCATGCCAGACCCACTGGTCCAACTGGTCTCGCAGTGGGGGGAGCTGTGCTTTCGCTCTAGACGTTCCATCCACCCCCGGGGTGTCAGAGAAAACGGTGGCCTTCCGATTTGAGGTCCCTTTCCCTAGTGACTCCCACTGTGGTGACGTGATGGGTTTGTTTTTTCTTCTTTCCCACAGGGAATAAAGCCTCTTTCCCAAGTCCAACGTACAACCCCTTCACGTGGCTGTTCACACTGGTTTCCTGCCCCAACTACACCTACGAGGTAGGTGGGTTTCGTCTCTGTGGGTGGGAGGGGTCAGCCACAGCCAACCTGTGGCCTAGTCCACGGTGAGCTTCCCCCCTCCTTAGAGCAGCCCCCTCCACGCCAGACAAATCTCAGACCAGAAAACCCCATTCACCCCGCTCCTGCCTTAGGCCCCTAGGCTCTGGTTGAGTGACTGATGTCCTCAAATCAGACCAAGTTACAGAGACAGGACATCACTTACATGAGTTTAAACCTGCCGCAAAAAAAGGGGGGGGGGCAAAAAACCCCTGGGGTCTCCGCCACTCCGACTTGGGGGGGGGATTCCTTCCAGACCCCAGATCTGGTGATCAGTCAGACCCTGGGTATGCGGACACCAGACCTACCAGGCAGTCACCGAGGGAAGGAATTCTGTGTAGTGTAGTAACTCAGAGCCCTCCCCATCTAGGGTCCCATCACCGGCTGTGAGGTGGGGGGGGGGTTGTGCCTGGCCATCACCGATGAGCCGCCTGCCGCTGTAGGTAGCCTCATCAGACCACGTTAACAAGCTCAGTCGTGAAGCCAGCTAGGTCATCCGTCCGACTGCTCCCCTTGGAAGGTTGGTCTAGAACTTCACTCCTCCTGAGGGTCAGAAACTGGAGCCTGGTTTCCCGCCTAAACTTGCTGATGGCCGGCTTATAGCCATTAGTGTCCCCACTGGCGCTTACTTTGAAGAACTCCTTTGCCACCTTCATACTTATCCCTCTGATGTAGTTACAGAGAGCAATCATAATACTGCTCAGCCGTCGTTGGGTGAGGCCACACAAACCACGTTCTTTGAGCCTCCCCTTGTAAGGTGGATTTCCTATTCCTCTGATCATCCTAGCAGCCCTTCTGTGCATCCTTCTCCCTCATATAAATATTTGTTCTGTCCCTCAGGGTACGTCTAGACTACCGCGTTTTGTCGACGGAAGTTTTGTCGACAGATACTGTCGACAAAACTTCCTTCGACAAAGATCGTCCAGACACATTGAGTTCTGTCGACAAAGCAAGCCACTTTGTCGACAGAACTCCGTAGTCTGGACGCAATGTTACAGGCAATAACACCTTCTGTCGACAGAGTTCTGTCGACAGAAGGTGTTATGCCTCGTAAAATGAGGTATACCAGCATCGACAAAACTGCTGAGTTCTGTCGACGTTATGTCGACAGAATTTTGTCGACAAAAGTCCACTTTTGTCGACTAAACTAGGTAGTCTAGACACACCCTCAGTCTCACCACCAGCCTCCTTCCCCATCTCTGCATTGAACACTCACCTTTCATCCAGCCACACTGCTCACCTCCTACAGTAACTGTAGTATACAGTCGAAACCTTGCCCTATAATTCCTACATGGGGACAGGATTAACAGTTCTTCTCTCTTCATCTAGATTGGGTCTTGGATTAGTTTTACGGTGATGACACAAACACTACCAGGTAAGATTAAACCTCAACTGAAAGAACGAGATATAAATGCATTACTTGCAAAAGTAAACATACCCTCACCCCCAAAGAATAACTGATGGATTCTGGCCACCAAATAGTCCTCTTTGATTCCATCATGTTACTCTTTAAAGGGTCATCTCTAGGAAGCTGGATACAGGGTGGCGCTCATCAACAATTTCCAGAAACCATTTATTATTGTGATTAAAAACTTGCTTTTTTAGCACGTCAGTGACTTTTGCAAAAAAAAAAATTTTTTTTAAATATTTCGCAAATAAAATCTAAAATTGTATAAAAAATGCTATAGGATTTTTTAATGTAACCCTCCATCATTTTTTATGTAAGAAATTTTCTGGGTTTTTTTCTTGGGATTTTTTTAAAACAGACATTTCACTAGGGTCCACCTTCGCAAAGGTATTTAGGCACCTAAAGATGCATCTAGGTACCTCTTGGGATTTACAGAAGTGCTTAAGTGAGTTAGGCACCTAACTCCTAATGAAAGCCCATATAGAAGTGTTTTTAAATACTACTAGGGGCCGATCTTGAGATGTCTAAACTCCTTTGTAAATCTAGCCCCATGGGACTAAGGTGACCAAAACATTCATTTTAAAAATGTCTTATTTTTGTTACCAGGAAATAAGAAATGCTACATTGTAACATTTTGCAGTTTAAAAAAAATAGTTTGAAAAATTAACTACAAATGATCTTAAGGCGGGATGAAAAAATTAATAACAAACTAGAGAGAGTTATGATGGGGCTGCGGATGTAGTGAGGGACACGGCAGTAGTGAGTGGAGAGGCAAGGAACAAAGTGGGCTGCAAGATGTTCATGCTTCCAGTAGGCACCCTGAAGTTTCCCTGACATCTCTCAGCAATGCCCGTCAAGTGTATTGTGTCAGAGCAACTTCCGGAAGTGAGATTAACGAACCAGTGAAAGTCTCTTCAAAGTGGTTACCAACTTATGCAGATTAAACCTGATCGGTGCTGTTTGTGGCAATATTAGAGTAGTATAACAGTGGAGTCTCTCCACCCCCACCCCCACAGTGGAGTAAAGTTTCTCTACGTTCTGCATCACCTGACCTATGCGTAGGGTGTGTCTCCACCCCAATCTGAAGTGTGTTTGTGGCATGGGTAGACACACCTGCACTAGCATAGCAAAAAGCAGCTCTGTAGACTTCATGCTTGGGCCTTATCGGAAGCTATAGAAGCATGCTGGGAACCCTAGGTGCATATGTTAATAGCTCATGGTGATGTGCTAGCCTCCATAGGAACATAAGCACGGCCATACTGGGTCAGACCAAAAGTCCATCTTCCAACAGTGGCCAATGCCAGATTCCCCAAAGGGAGTGAACAGAGCAGGGAATCATCCAGCGATCCCTCTCCTGTCATCCATTTCTAGCTTCTGACAAACATGCTAGCTAATAAGTATTGATGGATCTAACCTCCATGAATTTATCAATCTCTTTTTTGAACTCTTTTAAAATCTTGGTCTTGACAACATCCTCTGGCAAGAAGAAAAATCTTCCTTTTGTTTGTTTTAAACCTGCTACCTATTAATTTCATTTGTTGACCCTGTAGTTCTTCTGTTTTGCGTAGGTAAAGCTGTGTTGTTACCCACGTTGTTATCACACCACTGAATTTTTTCCACTTTTTTGTAAATGTTCAAACTTTCATACTAATTTGAACCAGAGAGTAAATACTATTGAACTCTCAAAAATTCTCCCAGGACTGGAAAACTCTTTTCCACTCAGCTCCCAACAGTCATGAGTATGTAAGATACCCTGACACGCTTAGGAAATGTAATTCCAAGTACTGTGTGGAGAGTAACTCATGTTGAAAGGATCTATTTTATTCATGGTCAATATGAATGTTGTTGATACTCATTTTCTTGTTTGCAGTTGGAATTTTTGCTTGCCTGATGGCCATCCAGATGTCATTTTGGGCCCAAAAGAAACACAGGATCTACCTGAAGAAATATAATTCCTACGTGAGTAGGAAAACAGCCATGATTCCGTTCATCTTCTAAGCACTGCAAGCCTATAGTCACTGTTTGATAACTGACTGGAAGCAAATCCGCCATTTTATTTAATAACCAAAGAGGGCGTATGCGAGAATTGCTGGGCATCTTTTTCAGACAAATTAACCTCAGGGTGGGATGTTTGGAATGACGTGACCAGAATCTGGCTTTGAATTATGTTAGAAGATGTGATTAAACTACATTTTGTGCAATGGAGCTAATCAGCAAGACATAGGAAAATCCGCCTTGTGAATGTTGGACTGGATCTTCAGCTGATGGAAATAAACGTTTTCCATTTCAAGCCAGTGGGATGATAAAGTTTTCCAGCTGGGGATCTGGCCCTTTAACGTTCAATACCAAATGTTGATCAGATTCTGAGCATGAGGGGCAATGCCAAAGCTTTAACTGGATTCCAAGCAGCGCACATTGTGTAAATCGCTGTGCCACTAGACTGAAAAAATAACAAAAAAAGCTTTGCAGTTTTGTTTTATTGAACCAGTCCCTTACTGCTAGCAAGTTGCTTGGTGATGCAAAGTGACTTAAAATCAGCACTGTGGAGAAATCCGATGTTTTAATGGATTGAGTAGGAAAGTGGATATCAGGAGAATGGAATTCGAATTCCAATCATAGGAATGTAAGAACTACCACCATGGGTCACACCAATGGTCCATGTAGTCCAGCATTCTCTTTCCAAACTGTGTCCAGTGCCCGAGCTTCAAAAACCGTGCTCAAAAACGGTGATTATGGCGCAAAGCGTCATTGTTTTCCCCTCACGGCTTTTGATAGCTAGAAGTTCAAGGTCACCCCAAGAATGTTCCAGGTTGCCACCTATGTGCTCTGCCGCCTTGGGAAACTCACTCAAATCCAGAATAATTCATCATGACAAAGGGTTTTGTAATCACACCTGAATTGATGGAACTTTGTACAGTGAATTTCTACTCAGTAAGCTCACACGAGGATCTGGAACATCTCCGTGCCTCCAACTTTCCATCTCAGGAGAACACAGAGCCTCTGTTTATAAAGCACTGTGAGATCCTTAGATGTCACCGGTACATACAAACCAATTGTTACGGAAGCGGAGAGGATCGCCATCTGCATTCAGTGCCTGTCTTGGTTCAAGCATGCCGGGACAGGTACAAATGGGCAGCACTTCATGGATCTCACTTGGCAAGTGCATCTTGAGGTTGCTTTTGGAAGCCAAGCCTTGGGTTGAGTTGCTTAGTCTGTTCTTTCTTTGCTTTTTCTTTTCTTTTTTTTTCCTGAGTCTCATTCTTCTTTTCCAAGGGAAGGTCTTTTATTCAAATCCCTGGAAACGCTATGTAAATTCATTTGCAAATCACTGATTCCTTCAGTGCTGAGCAACACAATTTTTAGAGGCAAGGTAGGAGGTCTGGCGAGAAGAGTTGCCTCATTAGGCATTAATGTGCTAAACCCTACAACTTCAATTATTCATTCAATTTCTTTAGCACCTTAATAGATGCTTCTCACATCCTCTTGGCAGGTTAAATAATAGGTCTCAAAACTGAGTCATTAGTGCAGTACCAAGCTACAATAGCAAAGCAGGACAAGTTTTGGTTACGAGAGGAACTGTTATCTTACCTAGCAGCACTGTGCTCTAGTGCTCTACCAAAGTTAATTTGTCCAATAAATTGGGTTCATATCCCTCTTGAATGTCTAATCTACAGGCTCGCAGGGTTTATCCTGTTAGTAAGACAGACAATGAGCTGTGTGTGTTGACTGTATCTTTTATAAGTATTGAAGTGAAATAGTGGCCAAGTCACACTAGCCAGGTCTACACTAAAGGGGAAGGTCAACTTAAAATACAGAACTCCAGCTATGTTAATTGCGTAGCTGGAGTCGACATATCTTGACTCTCCATATACACATTGGGGGGTCAATGGGAGCAAATGCTCCCGTCAGCTTCCCTTACTCTTCATGAGGAGCAGAAGTACCAGCGCTGGCAGAGGCGTCCTCTGAATTTGATTTAATGGATCTTCACTAGACCCGCTAAATCGAACCCTGGAAGATCAACTTCAGCAGCGTTGATCTTCCACATAGTGTAGACATGGCCATTGTGAGTTTCAGCAACTCTGCTAGACTGGCAAGTAGAGTAAACTATGCTGTTTGAAAATAAAACAATTGAGTATGGTTATTTGGCAAAGGTCTGAAAGAGAAGAAAGAAAGAAAGAAAGAAAGAAAGAAAGAAAGAAAGGTTGACTTGAAAATGGTTTGTGCTGATGAAGAAATGGAAGGGCACATACTTATTCTTGACTATGATAATATTGGTGGTCCTGTAAGTCCCAGGAGATGCATATATTTAGAAGGCAAGGCATAGATAAATCTTAGCCCTTTCAGTAAAACACATCAGATTACATGACAATTGCTACAGGTAGATTTCCAAGTTACCTAAACATATTAGAATTGTAAACACGAGTAGTCCTGTGGCACCTTAGATATTAGCAAATATATATATTTGTTAGTATCTACTATACATGATGGCTACGTCTAGACTGTCATGATTTTCCGCAAATGCTTTTAACGGAAAAGTTTTCTGTTAAAAGCATTTGCGGAAAAGAGCTTCTAGATTGGCACGGACACTTTTCCGCAAAAACACTTTTTGCCGAAAAGAGTCCGTGCCAATCTAGACATGCTTTTGCGCAAAAATCCCCGATCACCATTTTCATGATCGGGGCTTTTTTGCAAAAACAAATCTGAGCTGTCTACACTGGCCCTTTTGTGCAAAAGCTTTTGCATAAAAGGACTTTTGCCCGAACGGGAGCAGCGTAGTATTTCCACAAGAAGCACTGATTTCTTACATGAGATCGTCAGTGTTCTTGCGGAAATTCAAGTGGCCAGTGTAGACAGCTGGCAAGTTTTTCTGCAAAAGCACCTGCTTTTGCAGAAAAACTTGCCAGTCTAGACACAGCCGATATGTCTAGTTTCATGAGCATTCGTGCAAACCCCACTTCCTCAGATGAGAGGAATAGTGACATGGGACATATAAAATAAATCCTGTGTAAGGATCATGTAGGTAAAAAAAATTCCATTTAATGTTGCTAATGTAAATACATAATTTCCCATCTATTTTTTTAAACGGGTGGCCTGTTAACAGCTGGATGTTTTTTCACTGCTCTCTGTAGATATACCACAATCTCTGAGCAACCAATTAGCTAACATTATGTCCCATAATAAAGATCTATTTTGAAAGAAGGCATTTGTGGTACACTTTTGTGCTTAACTTCTATTTACATTCTTCATACAGATTTGTTTAATCGATTCTTACAAATATAAGGTTGAAAGGGAATTTTAAAAAGTTGTCGAGCCCACCCCCTCTGAGGCAGCAGAAAATAGACCTAGTCCGGCCTGGACAGGTTGGCTAATCTGTTTTTAAAACCTCCAATTACCAGGATTCCCCTGGTCTGGAAACTATTCCAGTATTTCACTCTCCCCTTATAGCTATAGAGCAACTTTTTCAGGAAAAAAAAAATCCAGTCTTGAATTTAAGATATGTCCTAGGGATTATTTTGGGTAAGTTTTATGGTTGGGGTGGGGGAGTGTCAGACTTCATTTAATTTCAGAGACCATGTTTCTCTGCAGTGTGTTAGTGTTAATACAGCTACTGCCTGTATGGTCTGGACTTCCATAGTCCGGCACCATCTGTGGTCCGGCATCTCCATGGGTTCTCCTGGAATGGAGCACTCAGCAATTCCTCCCAGAGTGCCACAGGCTCATAGAGGGAGGCACGGGGAGAAGCGGAGATGGGAGACTTTTGGGGGAAGATGGTTGTGGAGCCGCGCTGTTAGTGGCAGGGGCTGGTGGCACAGCCTGGCAGTGGTAGGACTCAGTGTGCTCCCGTGGGGCTGCGATCCTGGCCCCCTGGATGAAGGGCTTCTCTCCCCACCGGTCACAGCTTGGTCAGCTTGGACCCTCGCTGCCACCAGAATGGAGGCCGGCAGACAGTGGTGGCAGCAGGGCTGACATTGACTGCGCCTGGTCTGGCAGAGTCCCTGGTTCAGGTCCCAAGGGTGCCGGCCCAGGGGGGTGGAGTCTGTGTAAGTACCTAACAGTTCCTTGGTGACTCGGCAGAGATGGCGAAGAATCGTATTTTGGGTTTTAACTAAGCAACGCTATATGCATAGTTCCTCTTTGGTAATCCTAGAGAGTCGCCTAAGAGAACTTCCAACCACTGCTTCATGCAATTTCTTTTGGTGTTTTATACCAGACATCAGCAACTACAGGATTCACAGTTGTGAGATTCCTTTGAGAGACGTGCATCCCAGTGCACTGGAGAACTACTGAAAGGGGAGTGAAAAAATGTCTGCGAGATACTAACTGGTTACTCTAAATAAATCCCATTAGAAAACTTAGTGATCAGCCTGGGAGCTGGAGGAAGCCAGTCCATGGGGGGCCAATCAAGTGTCTGGTAGCATTGTGGGCTCCTGCAACTTCTTTTGTGCGTCCCACAAACTGCTGTAATCCTGTGACCCTGGAAGAGGAGAGAGACAAGCCAAACGGAGTTAGCAAACTTTGAGCTCTCACAATGTGTTCTTATTATATATATCCAGATCGAGGACTGGCCACAGGGGCAGTGTCCATCCTATTCCTGTTGAACACTTGTCAGATGGCTCTGGCTTTTAGCTGTTTCTCTGAGGCTTCCCTCAATATTCAGAAGATGGCAATGGTGCCTAGAGGTTGAACCTCTCTAATCCAGAACTCTCTCGTCCAGAAACATCCATTATCTGGTATGATTGTAGTTAGTTAGATGTCCACTTTTCATGGGTGTGGCACAGTTTCCCATGATCCCATAAAGTTTGTTTACATCCACCAGTCCTGGCTCTGTGTTCTGTGCTGATATTTAACTCTAATTTACCCCGAAATGTCTTCTAACAGCCCAGTAAGCAGTGGAAGTGTCGGTAATGCTACTAGACAATATCGACCTCCCATGGTCCAGAAAATTCTCTGATTCAGAATCGGTGAGGTGCTGAGGTTGCCAGACTAAACAGGTTCAACCTTTAATACATTTCTCCTGGGTTTTATTTAGCCGGAAGCTTTTTATGTTTAATTCATTCGAAGGATTGTATTTCTACATTTGCCTATAGGACTCAGACTCTGAATTGGAATGTTCCCCTTTTCCTGACATTTCTTTTACTGTTTCAAAGTCAGAACCTGGTGAGTTGCTTCTCTCTTTTAATATTCTCTTTCCTGGGCTCTCCTTTCTGCTGTTGGACAGTTATTAGCAAGGAAACGACCAAACCCCTTTATGGTTCCCCTGAAAGTAGTGAGCCCGGTCTGTGTATGCTTTGATTACCTAAAAGGAAGAATTTCAGTCCCTTGAGAGCGTACAAGAGAACAAAACAGCTTAACCACAGCCTGAGAGACAGTACCTTTGTTGTAAGGTAGGCGAATGTATGCATCACAGCTGGGCGAAAACTAGTTGGTTCAAGTGGCGGGAAGTTTGTTTGGTTTCCGAGTCACCCAGCAAATTATTCATGAAACAGTTTATTGGACTTGCATTGCTCCTCCCCATGGTTCTGTCTTTAATTCCCTGTAGCCAAGTGTCAAGAAGGGATTTCTATCCAAATGACAGGAAATTCCTGTGACTCTAGAGGGGGTGGTGAAAACTTGGAAGAACACAAGTGGGAAAGGGGCCAAGAAAGGGGTGGTGGGAAAAGCCTGCAGACAGGAAGGAAGGAAGAAACCCAGGTAGGAAGCATCTATTAGATAGACTTGCCTGCTTGATGCTAGATGGGACCACCAACCAGCAAGTCAACTCGTCTCAAATTGCTTGAAGACTTTGTTGAACGCGTTGCGGAATGTGGACTTCAATATCAGTGTATCTGAGCATGCTTTCAGATATACATGCTTATCTCCCATTGCCTTTAGATCGCTTAAGAGGGATTAGTCTCTGGAACAGGTGAGTGTTCCCTTAGCAATCTGTCTCCCTAGCAATCTGGATTTCATCAGAGTGATTGGATCCTGATTACATAGAAAAAATTGATATAGCCCTATCTTTGCCTATTATATATTTAAGGCAGGTTTGACATTGACTTTTCTAGTAGAGGCTGGGGTAAAAAGTATCATTCAGAGAGTAGAAGCAACAGTCATCTATTGACAGGAGAATGGCTTAGCTTTGGAAGGCAACCCCCAAAGACAAAGCAATCAGATCCTGTTAGAAGCTACTAGTAAATAAATTCTTTAGACTTCAAAGCAGCTCAGCATTATTCCTTAGTAGCTCGTTTGTTTTCTTTTTTCTAGCCCAAGAGGCAGTGATTTTGTGAACAGAGTGATAATTGAAAGAGCAACCCCCTGACTCATAGACCAGGTTGATGCAGTTAACATTCACTTAAACATCTCAGGAAATTCTTCACCCAGCTTCTAGGTTTGGGAGATATTGTCAGTAAGGGTGTGTCTAGACTACAGGCTTTTGTCAACAAAACTATACCTGCATCTACACTGCCACTGAGTTCTGTCATCATAATGTCGACAGAACACAACAGTTTTATCAATGGCTGTAAACCTCATTCTACGAGGAATAAAGCCTTTTGTCGACAGAGTTCTGTCGACAGAAGGCGTTATTGCATCTACACGGTCCTTTGTGTCTACACTGTCCTGTTGACAAAGTGGCTTGCTTTGTCGACAGAACTGGCTGTCATCTAGACACTCTTTGTTGATAGAAGCTTTGTCAACAGTATCTGTCGACAAAACTTCTGTCAACAAAAGCCTGTAGTCTAGATGTACCCTAAGTGACAAAATCTCTGGGGAGGGGGTGGAATTGGGGGTGAGATGCAACCCCCCCCCAAAATACAAAAAAATCCCTCCCCTGCACACATACTTTCCCACATGCCTGGCAGAAATGATATTCTACCTGATGAAAACCCTGTTCCCCAAGATGGAGAAGAAGACATAAGAAGCATCTCCTCCACCGCTGTCCCTCAACTAGCTCTGCCAGCGCATTTCTGAGGATTGAACAGCCCATTTCTTTTTGTGCAAGGGATTTTTTTGGGAGAGGCATAAGGATCTTGCACAAAACTGGGTTTTTGCACAAAATGGAAGCGGCTACACTGCAAAAAGAAACAGCAGAAAATATGCTAATGACATTGCAGCTTATGCTAATGAGTCCCTCATTAGCATATTTCCTGCAGCAAATACCTTGTAGTGTAGACATAGCCATTGTGTTGTGTGAAGTGCAAAGAGGATTAATCTCCTCTCATG